CAGAAACTGAAAGAGTCAGAAAAAGAGAGAGATTCTGCTAAGGATAAAGAAAAAGGGAAGCATGAAGATGGGAGGAAAAAAGAAGCAGATGTTATTAAGCAGCTGAAGATTGAACTCAAGTAAGCGACGTTTGCCGTGATTCAGAGCCCGAACCTGAGAGTGAACTGTTTGTTTTAGAGTGTATGGCTCACCAGTCATTGCATAGTATTTTAGCTGTAGCTTAGTGTACAATTAATATGGTCTTGACTTTCAATCAGATATGTAGCCAGGTGGCCTACCTGGCTATTGTACAGTGTTGCTGAGTGGTTAGGAGCCAGTGAGCTCCTGGTTGAGGCCTTTACTTCTCATGAGTTCATATTAAGAAAACAGATACTACATTGAAGTAGCACACCAGAGAATACTGGAAATTGACTACTACTTTTAGGTTTGAGTAATTTGCTGGCATCACTTGCATTTTAAATTATCCTACATCTCTAATTTATTTGCAGGTGACTGGTTTGAAGGTATGCCAGCCTCAAACCAAGAATTCCTTAGGCAGTTTCCTCCTACAGGATCCAGACAGAAGGATAGATTTAACTCAGTGCAGCATTATCTTTGTCCTGACATAACATATTGTCTCATTTCCTACTGCATAAACAATAATGTCTGGTGGAACTGGCTTTTCTGACTTTATTTTTCATGGTTTATACTTTGAATTTAAGTGTTCGCTGTGCTTTAAGTACTTGAGCTCACCAGTCATTAAGCTTAAGCATTTAGTAAGAAATGAAGTGTTAGTCTCCAGCTGATGTTTACAACTGTCATTACCAATCCTAAGACTAGCAGTTTATTTTAAACTTTCAAAATTTCCTTGTTTTTGATTTTTTTTAAGTACATTCATTTCCCCCTATTAAAAATCATCCTAGTGATTTGACTAAATACATCCCAGATCTGTCTACTAACTCTCAGTTTCTGAGTGGCACCACTAAAATGTGCCTGTGTCAGAATTGCCACAGTTACTTACTGTATAACTTTATGTTGCAGAATTGAAGAGAGAAGTGTTTCATATGTATGGGCTTCTTTTCTGTTGCAGAAGTCTGTTGGTCACTTATGAAAACAATAGAGACTAGGAAAACTGTTGTGGAATGTCGCATTGCATCCCAGTGCTCTTGCTCTGATGTCCTTTGTTCTTTCCCTGTTGTTCCTTTCCCTCCACCACCCTGTCGTAGGAAAGCACAAGAGAGCCAGAAGGAGATGAAACTGCTGCTAGATATGTATCGCTCTGCCCCCAAGGAGCAGAGAGACAAAGTGCAGCTAATGGCAGCTGAGAAGAAGTCGAAGGCTGAGGTAACTGAGACTTCTGTCACCTGTCATCCTGGTGACAGTCTTCCTCTGTGGGGTTGTCCTTTGTGCTTTCATCTTTAATGCTAGTGTTCAACTTAGCAACTTTGTCCCCCTTGTCAAAGACTGTCTGTGGGTGTGATAGCGCGCGCCTTTAATCCCAGCACTCAGGAGGCAAAAGCAGGTAGGTGGATCTCGGAGTTTGAGGCCAGCCTGGGCTATGGAGGGAATTCCAGGACAGCTGGGGTTACACAGAGAGACCCTGTCTCAAAAAAGCAACAAAAAAACTACAAAAACAACAGAACAAACAAAAAAGACTCTCTGAAGTCAGGCTTTTAAAATCCTCTGCAAGGTAATAAAATATGTCAGAATTACAAGAACTTGGACTAGGTTTTTAAAATTTTCCTTGGTTGGTCCTGAGAAATTATTACCACTTTATCTTTGTTATTACTATAGTAGTTCTCTTTTTCTAGTTGCATTTGAGAGGGATTTTTCCTTTTAAATATTTTTTATTATTTTGTGTGTAAGGGTGTTTTCCTTGCCTTGTCTGTGCATCACATGTGTGCCTGATATCAGTGGAGGGCTGAAGAGGGCACCTAGAATTGGAGTTATAGATGGTTGTGAGTTGCCATACAGTGCTGAGAATTGAACATGGGTCCTCAGGAAAATCAACCAGTGTTCTTAACCACTCAGCCATTCCATCAACCCTGAGAGGAATGTTTTTTTGTGTGTTTGTTTGTTTTTGGCTTTCTGAGACAGGGTCTCTCTGTGAAACCCTGGCTATCCTAGAACTTGTGATATAGGCCAGGGTTGGCTTCAAATTCTCAGGGATCCACCTGACTCTTCCTCCTGAGTGCTAGAATTAAAGATGTAGACTGTCATGTCCATCCCAAGAGAAATGTTTTTATTCTTGAAAATTTGAGGTCTAAGGAGAAGACAGTTTGAACACCTCCAAAGAAAAGTGTGTGTAATAGGCAAAGCCTCTGCCTGTAGATGTATAACATGCAGGAATGATGTTGAGTGGTGTGCTGAACTGAGTTATTCTCAGTTTATCTTTTATCCTGTTCCACAATTATGTACTGCTTGTTTATGTGGGGCTTCCATGTGTGCATAATGTTGATAGAGTTTTGGAAGTGTTTGATGGCTTCTCTTAGTTTCTTACGTGATCCTTTTCCTCCTGTAGTTGGAGGATCTCAGGCAAAGACTCAAGGATTTGGAGGATAAAGAGAAGAAAGA